ACTTTGTGTTTGGAGCTCATGCTTCTACTAGTTATTCACAAACTACATAATAGTTTATTGTGAATCACAGTTACTTCACCGCATTATATTTGAAATGTCACATTGCCCTCCATAAATATGCACAATGTTTACAAATATTTGATTATTACCTGTTGATCACAGATAGCTTTAAAAGTTTAAAGAGATGGAAGTTTTAACAACCAACTTTCAATCATTACACACAGCGTATATACAGTATATATGAATAGGACTTTATCTATAAATATGTATAATAGGGAAAAGGTTAATAACTAAATATTTTTATTGGAAAAAATAAGCTCCATTAAAAAGTAAGATAAATTTCCATTAAGAGTACATAGAGAGAAATTATTTCCTTTTGGAAATAAAAGAATCCTTTTATAGAGAAAATGAGTTGCAGACATTTAATTTCTCCATGTGGTGATAAGAATAGAGTAAATAATTAATATGTAGACTGCTGGGTCTCTTTATTCTGTCTACTTTTCATCCTGCTCATCAGTAAGAGTCCTTTCACTGACTGAAAGGCTCTACAACATGGTCCAAGTTCGGATGCCTGACCTCTACTCACCAAGGCTATACTCTATAGACATTCAAGGTTAACAGCAATGAGTAAAACTGACAATTCTGTGACCTAAGAGGTACATTATGTCTAAAATTAATCAGCTTGTATGAAAGAGAAATTTGATGTTTCAGAAAACACATTTTATGTCATCAGAGAATCTCTGGAGTCAAGAAACACCAATTTATTAACATTTTTGAGGATCCGGATTCTAACAGCAACTGCGTAATCTGGTTGGACTTCAAAGTAGTTCAACCATAGCACATGTTTTGTTTCCTTTTTCTTTCTCACGAGAAACAATATAGGTGCTGACAGGAAAAAATGGAAAATATTTCATATTTATCTTCAGAAACAAGTGACTTTTCTTATTTGAAGACAAAAACTAAATTCCTTCCTTGTTGCCTGAGAAATATTATATCATTTGTAACTAAATTTTAGTATCTATGACTGTATCAAAATAGACCTAAAATAATGTCCTTCCTTAATAATTACCACAGATATAAAAATGTGTTAACAAAAAATGCCTAAAATAATTAATGAGAAGGTACTTATATTTATTAATTAGAAAATATTCATTAAAATATGCATTTAATGAGTTGTCTGTTTATATTATTTACTTATGATGTACAGCAATGATAACCATTGGTGAATTTTTCAGTATTCTGAGCTAACAAACTATGGAAAATTAATTATAAATATGATCAGTTGAGAATAAAGGGACCATTATAATTAAATCTAACTTCAAGATTATAGGTAGCTTTTCATAGTAAGGGGATTTTAATCTGATGAGTGAATAAGAGTAATATGAAACCAAAGGAAAGGATAACAAGTGGAAAAATACTGAAGAGACCGTTCTAGGTAGAAACAAATATCATAGACAAAAGAGGAACTGAAACATGATCCATATGACCATAGAAAACACAGTGAAGCATGTCTCAAGATGAGCCAGTAAAACTGTTTACATCACAGTAGAAAGAAGAGGACAAAATTGAAATTCTGGCTCTGCTACTAACTAGTTACAGAAGAAAAATCATTGACAATTCAGAGGTTTGCTTTCCTCAACTTTCAAGTAAAGAATTAAAATTAAATTATTCCTGAAGTCCTTTTCATTCTAAATATCCAAGTAAAACATAGAGTACCCATACTTAAAATTTGCAACTAGTTGGGTATTTAGAAAAGGCCTTACTGTTAACACTAAATGCCTTGCTTTTATTTCACTAAAATATTTTCATTACTACATTGGATATTCAACAATGCCTATTCACATTAACTTTCTCTAGCTAAAACTCTTCAAAATGTCTGATGTAAAAATACCTTAGAGTCTTGAGCAGTCATTTTAACTTGTATGAAAGAGACTCAGAACTGTTTCTTGTAGAAAATCTTAGACCTGCCCATGGAAACTTCTCTCTGAGACTGCCTACTACCGACAGCGAAGAGTCTCCTTCTCACAGGAGTATTTGTCAGGCTCTTTCATTATTTCTTCATAAAAATATGTCAAACTGACTTTAACATTTTCCATTATATAAGTATTTTCCACGTCAAATACAAAAGTATAAAATAGATTGAACAAGAAAAAGGAAGAATAAGCACTTATAATCTCAATAACCAAAAATAATTGGTAATTCTACTATCTTTTATTCTTCAGGTGGTTTACATTCAACTAATTTCCTCAAAAGCATCAATTTCAATTTAGTTCCAATTGTTCAATCAGAACCGTATTTTTTTTCAGAAGAACTGGGTGCATAATATCAAAGCAGAACTTCTCAGGTTGGAGTGGGCCCGGAACTGTATCCAGTCCTCTCCACTCCCTCAGTCCTTCAGGGACCCCATGAAAGCACAGGCTGAACAGCACTGTTCTTCATCAAAGATCTCACTGTGGTTAAATCACACTTACTACTCAATAACTACCTTTAAGCATGAACCTCTACTTATATCTATTTAATTTTATATATAAGTACTACAATGACTATTTTGTATACCTTGTAGTATAGAAGATGTATGCAAAAATAGAAATGAAGAGGATAAACATAAAATGACAAAATCATACTTTTATTTTATGTTTCTATATAAATGCTAACACATGCCGGGGATTTAGCTCAGCGGTTCGGTGGCCTGCCTTGCAAGCGCAAGGGCCGGAGTTCGATCCCAGGTGCCAAAAATAAATAAATAAATAAATGCTAAAACTTCATTTGCAAATACTATAATAGTGTTTTTAACAATATATATTGAGAAAACTAACTCCAAAAGCTTCTTTCTGTTTTGTGGTTACAAACACGAGAGCTACTCCTAACAATTTTTTTAAGTGAACTGTACTGTTAATAATAAGCAGGGTTCATTTCGGATGCCCATTTTTGGATCGGGTCTTTATATTTGGGGGGACTGATTGTTTTGAGTTCTTTATATATCCTTGAACAGACATTTCTCATACAAAGAAGTGAAAGCAGCAAGAAAATATATGAAAAAATGTTCCACATCACTGGTCATTCGAGAGATGCAGATGAAAACAACACTAAGATTCCACCTCACCCCACAAAGAATGGCTGCTATCAAGAAATCACACAATAACAAATGTTGGCGGGGTTGTGGGGAGAAAGGAACCCTCCTCCATTGTTGGTGGGAGTGCAGACTAGTGCAACCACTATGGAAATCAATATGGAGATACCTCAAAGAGCTTGGACTGGAGGTTCCATTTGACCCAGCCATCCCTCTGTTGGGTATCTTTCCAAGAGAACTAAAAGAATCATATCACAGAGAAGTATGTG